AAGTACTAAATAGCTTGATACAAAAATAGTAGTCACACTTTTTTGAATTAATAAAACTTGTATAATGCGACCTTTTTTCGGAACTTGTTACTATTGGTGTCTTTTAGAAATACTCAAAAAATTTTTTGCATTTTCAAATACTGTAGTTGATACCTATTAAAGTTTATATTCCCTTTATTGAACAATTCAGACTATTCTCAACTCAATGCATAAGTACCAGCCGCGATTCCACTTAGTCCGGGCAAGCGACATCGCACGACTGCCTTACTCCACCTTCCATTCATATGTTTTTAAGGAGACTCAATTCATCGCCGTCACTGCATACCAAAATGAAAAAGTAAGCTGAATTCATATATTATGAATAATTCTTTATCTTCGTCTTTTACATATTCTTTCTAATAGACGATTGGCTGCAAATATCAGAATAAAATCACTAGGGAAAATTTAATGCAAAATCAATCACCTTTTTGACTCATTAAGTTGTCTCACTATTCATATTTACTACTCTAAGTGACGAAGTATGCCTCGTATAAACATTCTTTATTTAAAACTTGTCTGACCTTATTTTTGTTACTCGGTCATATCGGCAGGAAGACCTAGATGAACTCATATTGTCCGGAATCCATAGTATGCATGATAGTTTCCATTTTGGTCTCCATACTTTCGATTATTTATTTAGTATCCACTTTCTTCACCAAAGAAAATACCAATAAAGCGGATGCTATGGCTCAAAGCTTTAGCACAAAGGGTAGCTTAGATTCGTGACAGGGGGTGCATATTTCTTTTTTTTATTAGGCCACTGGAATTGCGTTCATGCCTTCATATTAGCAAGCTCCTTTTTGGTTAATAACAAGATTATGGGCCTATGACTTGTCGTTCTAGACAATTCAACTCACAGAATAGTAGAAATGCAATTTTGTTCTCATCCTAGGGAAGGAAAGATAGGATTATTTCATCTTAGAAGAGAAATTGTCTAAATTTGAGAAGTGTCTGCTACATAATGTACTAATGCTAGACACGGATTACCGTCCAGACAACATGGGTAAAACCAAGTGTATATACAGCACACACAAATTATATCTATCTTTAAATGCTGAAGAGATCATAGATTTGGACTTTGAAATTTGTAGGATTTTATTCTCAGGTTGTTATTACATTTAACTTTTCTGAAATGTGATACCCAAATTTTGATTAAGTTTTTACAGTAAATCTGAATCGTTGATCATATTCTTTATCCTTATCTCTATTTCATCTGTTTATTTCCAGATCACCCAACTGAAAATAGATCATAATCCCTTTGCAAAGGGATTTCGGGACACAGGAGGCGGTCGAAGAGAAAAAAAGTAAGGCCATCATAAACTAGAATATTATTTATACTGTCAAATAGCACATGTGCCATGTTTTGAAAGGTATTATTAACCTGAAAAAATTCAAGCAATCACAAGCTTGTTGTGCAAACGGTCGCTATATATACATACATTAATTTACAGACGTAGGTATTTTTTCCTTGAGCGAAAGCCATTAAGCTTTATTGGTTAGCGGCAACCCTGTTTCATTGCCTGTAATAACTTTTTGCCTCAAGTATCTTAACATTTAACCCTTTCTCTCAAATAGGCCCTCTGCTTTGGTTGGTCCCAGAAGCGGCACCGCACCGCAAGCTCTTAGCCCACGTACAGGCTTATCGGCGAGCTCGGCGGGATTTCTGAACAATCCGCATCGTTCAATGACGGGTGCCGGATCACTTCAAACAGGACAACAAAGTCGTCAACTGGACCACCGTTTTCGTCATCAGAATGCAGGCCGGACATCCATGACCACAGTCGTAGCCTCCTCAACCACTGCCGGTGGTGAAGCCGGAACCGAGTCTTCTGAATCTGACTCGGACTCTGAGCCAGACTGTTCTGCAAGCCAAGTGGACCAGGAAGCTCTCTTCTCCTTTACCGGTGGTCGACCTGGCTCGATAGCAACCTCTGCATCTGCTACGGCGGCTGTTGCCTCAGGTTGTCTTATGTCGGAATCTGAAGGTCCAAGTCAAGATTCGAACTCCAGTCCTAGACCTAGAACTGGCTCTTCAACACTAGAAGTCAGACGTCGTCTTGGAGCAGAACTGCTGGCGCCTTCATCACATATTATGATGCCTGGTGAAGAGAGCGAGACTCACTTTGATCTGGGTCTGGAAAAATTCTGTAAGACCCGCTTCTCTTTACTTTTATCTCAAGCATAACCTGCATAACAGTTTAAATGTTCCTGCCAGTTTTGCGCATGTTCAACATTAATATAACAGTTATTTTTTTAATCAAATTTACCCAACAGCAATGTTTTATTCTAGCTTCTTATTATTAGGTTTGATGGACGCATCCTTAAGTAACATTTTATGCATGCGTTTTCATTTGTGACTAGAAATTCCAAGGTGAATTTGGTTATATTGGAGACATGTTAAAGGTTAACTAGAGAAGTTGGTGGAATGTTAAACATATTTCTTCTACATATTCTTAAGAGGTGAATCGCTGACTAGCAAACATGTAAAAGGCCTAGAAACAATGCATAACCGAGGGAAAGAACACTTGTAGAAGTTATCAGATAGGCTCTTTAGCCACCGGCACTAAAGCAACGAGACAATGCTGTAGCCTGCAGTCTAGTTCAGCCCCTTTTGCCCTCAAAAAGGTGGAAAGGAGAAAGCTTTTCTACACTAAAGCTCCCTCTAGCTACTACATTGCGAGTTGCTATGCCTATAAAGTGTATCCCGATGATAAAAGTGTTACCTTTGATCTAAGCCGTTCAAGCATAACTTCCAACATGTTTGGGTCTCTGCAATTAACTCAGTTACGAACGCCGTTACTTTTAGGCAATCTACATGAGGGCGTTTGCTTGATTCGTTGTCCTCTTTGTATCCTTCATATAATAGCTGCATCAAACTCCCCAATATGCTCATATTTTTATGGTTTCCTGTTCTTTATCCTGGCATAATCATTTATAATTGCCGTTATTAGAGAGCAGATGCCTGTAATGCAGTATTTACAAATTACTTGTAGTAGAACGAATTTGTAACTAAACTGAGACGTCATTTTAAGATATCTCATATTAAGAGAAGCTAACCTTCTGGCGCTTATCATCACATAACGGGAAAGAAAAACAAAGACTTGATTAAAATTCATATAAAGCCTCATTTTTGACTATAGCTATACTAATAATTTTTCATTATTACTTGCTCGGAATTATTCCGCGAGTATTCCCAGTATTCCCGTAAGTGATTAAATGCTCTTGAAGCTAGGCATTTCGAATCGGAGATTCTATTTTTGCTTCCGTTATCGCCCAATCAGACTCATCGTTTCACGTTAAAGTATAGCCATCGCATATTCGTTCCACAGATTGACTCTC